GGCATGCATTAATGCACTTTTGTATGGCAATTGTGAGAACAGTTTGTCTTTTTCCCAAAGTCACAGTGAAAAACATTGTCATATCCATATCCAAAATATCCAAAATTTGAAAGACTGTAATGGCAATACAAATATCACATCCATTATCAGGATTATATTTTGCGTTTGACTAGTATTTTTAGAAAAAATTATGTAATTATTATCTCCACTCAGCAAACAAGTAGGTCAGTCATGATGTCACGGCACATCCAGAGTTTATTTGAAAAGAGATTTGCTTGCATTGAACACTCAGTTGTAATTCATTCTAGATTCTCAATGTCCTAGCCAACAGTTGCTTTACCTAGTATTGACTCAGAGTTGGTCATCTATTTGGTGTGTGTCTTGTGTGTCTGCCTGTCCATCTGTGTCTGCATGTTTCAAACTGTCAGTCAGTGATTGCAGGATTGTATCATTCATATTTTGCTCTCTCACCCATTTGCAACTACTTTTTTTTACGTGGCTCTTCTCCCTTCCTATCCATCCCCACCCCGCCAGATGGGACAGTTTTTTTATGAACCAAGGACAAGTATCTATATCGATCAAAGTTCAGTTTTTTAACCTGAAAACATTAAAATAATATATGTTCATGGCGTATACTCTTTCGCTGTGGCTGTCTTTTTTTTTTTTTTCATGAAACCCCATTCCTTAATCTCACCACCCACAGGGTGTGGTGGGGTAGCCCAGTGGTAACACCGAAGACCCGGGTTCGATTTCCCACATTGGTACAATGTGTGAAGCACCATGATATTGCTGGAATGTTGCTAAAAGTGTGGTAGAACGATACTCTCTCTCACTCACTCACTCACTCACTCACTCACTCACTCACTCACTCACTCACTCACTCACTCACTCACTCACTCACTCACTCACTCAAGAAGGTTCCAAGACACCTACATCGTAACTTCCTGTTTTTTCTTCCTGTTGAGTGTTTCAACACCAATGTTGTAAACAACCTTCAACATGTTCAAAGATCACTATTGAAAGGGAAGTAACTCTTGCCTTTGAATTCCAGATAAACACATATAACGTTTCTTCTTTTTCTTTTATCATATGGACCATATTTTAGATACCACTTATGTTTTTGTCTTCCTTGTATCCTTCCGCCAAATTATTTTAAAAAAATAACAGCAGTTAACAAGAAATTGTCTCACAGTGTGCTGGTTGAGGTGTCAGCCCCATGTCAATATGTCATCACAAGCCTCATTTCCTGATATTATCAGTGTGTGTGTGTGTAACCTATGTGAATATCCTTCTGTGCAGGTTGTATTAACTAACAGCACAATGTGTCACTAGATAAGATATTACTTCCTTGATCAATACAGTTAGTCACAGGCAACTTACAACAGTGGCTAGTTTTCCATGCAACTAAACTGAATTACATGGTATGAATACACAATGAGATTTAGAAACTGGTCAAATGTAACACGTTTCAGAGTACACTTTCTCAGTAAAGTACAGATTCTAGTACTTTTGTTGGGTTGAGACCCATCCGGGATGCCAACCTATTCTCTCAGTCAAGCACCTAATCGCCAGCGCCTTTAAGTCATTAAGTCTTACCCATTCAGCCACCATAGGGGTGGTGGGGTAGTCTAGTGGTCAAAGCGTTGGCTCGTCACGCCGAAGACCCAGGTTCGAATCCCCACATGGGTACAATGTGTGAAGCCAATTTCTGGTGTCCCCTGCCGTGATGTTGCTGGAATATTGCTAAAAGCGGCGTAAAACCAAACTCAGTCAGTCAGTCAGCCACCATGGCTTCCACAAATGGAAGACGGACAATAGTTCACGGACTTTAAGTGCTTGATGTGAGTGTGTGGGTTCAAATCCCGGATGGTACTCAACCCAACAACAGTACTAGAATCTGTATTTCACTGAGAAAGTGTAATCCCAAATATAACATGTGTTACGTTGTATTGCATGCTAGTAAGGCAGACCTTAAGATACTGATATGGCTGTTTTTCACCTGCAGTTAGTAACAAATACATATATCAAACTGATCAGAATAATAGACCACCTTCCCCTAAACATCCCTGGCTGTCTCAGTGGTAGGATCTGTACTCTGAATTAACCCGTGAAGATCCAGGTAACAATTGGTCTTCAGCAACCCATACTTGTCGTGAGAGATGACTAACAGGATCGGGTAGTCAGACATGGTTGACACTAGTGGTGGTCCGATTAATTCAAATAATTGAAGATTGGTCGCAGTGACTAAACGACCAAGCAATCGATCATGTTTTCTCATGATCGAACACAAACAATTCTGGAACACTTGTTTTCATAAACAATATTTTTCACAAGGTTGGTTTTGTCTGTTACATTTCATAAGCACTACAAGTTCGTTTCAAGTCATGATTGAATTTATCTTAAAGACGCCAAGAAATTTATGTTCCTGACATACTAGTCATCCTTTAAAGATGTGAAATTTGGCCAAAAAAAACAAAAGAACTATATGTTTTTCCTTATTTGTTTGTGCATTAACAAATTTCATTAATGGCGCTTACCAATTTTTTTTCAATGATTGATCGGTTGTAATAAACCAATCATCAATTATGAGATTTAAGCCAATTCCCAACACTAGTTGACACATGTCATCGTATCCCAATTGCAAAAATTGTTGGTCATGCTGTTGATCACTGGATTGTTTGGTCCAGACATGATTATTTACAAACTGCCCCATACAGCTGAAATATTGCTGAAATCGATGCTAAACAACAAACAAGACTGTGAGGTACGGCGACACCTACTTCTGTTATTCTAATCTAACATCTTCATCTATTGCAGCTGACTTTGGAGTATCAGCCAAAAACACCAAGACCATGCAGCGCCGAGACACCTTCATCGGAACTCCATACTGGTGAGCTACATACACTGCAGTCTAATTACTCCATCTTGCAAGAACCCTGTAGGAATTGTGTGTAGTAGAAGGCAACCAAATGGTTTGGTGGTCAGACTCAGTGACTTAATTCATAGTGTGTCATTGCATCCTAGGTCGATGTTTACAATATCAATCTCTAATTTTCTGGTCCAGATTTAGATTTAACATGTCGCCATCATACAGTTAGAATATTACTGAGTGTTTATGTGCATTTTATTATCACCACCACCAACAATAATAATAATAATCCATGTATGTAGCACTTGTTTTGTTTACTTCAGTTTTTCCTTTGGGTTGATTCGATACCTTAATTATTTACAGTGAGTGTTGTTACAGGGAGGGCCGCCTCCGTGGTGTAGTGGTTAGAGCGTCCGCCCGGAGAGCGGAAGGTTGCGGGTTCAATCCCCGACCACATCATACCAAAAGACGTTAAAATATGGTACTTGTTGGTCCCTGCCTGGCTCTGGGCATTAATGGGTACAACAAGGACTGGTCGCTCTCGGAGTCAGTATAATGTGTCTGAGTGGGTATTCATGCTTCAGTCGCGCATGGTATCTCAGTGGGCTAGCACTATAAAACCAGCTTCAGTCTGAGCTAGTACAAGCAGCCGCACATGCACATACACACGCATGCACGTTGTCATATGAGCGAAATATTCTCAAGCACGCCGTTAAACCCAATCTCACCACCTCATACCATGGGAGCTTCAGTTTTATTGTGTATGTTTGTACATGACCAACTCAAATTGGGTAATGAAGGTTTTTTTTGCGTGTTTTATTTTATAAAAGTATTTTCTGGAAACACACAGCTTATCTGGAGGTCTGAATTAGTCGTGTTACTGTGTGGAGAACAACAGGGTTGCAAACTGTCGCGGCTGTATTGTGTCACTTCCTGGTCTCCCCTGTAGGTCAGGCCTGTGTGTATGTTGATGCTTGGTGTAGTTAGCATAGGCACTTGTTTACAGGTGGATTGTTCAGCCTCATTCTAGTTCTGTAAAATGTCAAGTATGTGCTGTGTACATTCTGTTTGTTTTTTCTGTGCTGAATCAAAAGAAGATTAAAATGACAAATTCTAATGAAATGTATGCATACGGTAACATTTTACGGTGATATGTAGGATTTAAGTAGTACAATTGCTTTCATCATCACAAAAACCTGTTATCAGTAAGGTCACTGTTAAAAAGGACACACCTGGGGTTTTTTTATACTCGTGGATATTAATGAGAGATAGCATTCATTTGTCACACCAAAGTCCAAGTTTTACTTCTCCTAAGCATGACTGAAATACAGTATTATTGTCTTGGTTTCTATGATTTAAAAAAAAAATAATTTAGTGTGCAAACAGTCATCTGTGGATTACGCATTAGACACAAGTTGCTGCACATTTGTGTTTGTTTTGAATGTATTATTATAACTTTTTTTATCTTGCCTATCTTACAACTATAAGACACTGGTTAAATGGATGAGCAACTTTGTTACAATTATTGTTAAGCTCTGATTATCATGAACAGCATATGTTATGGACAGTGTTGTCTATCTATAGAACTTAGTGTGCAGGAAAGCAGTATACCTTTCATTTGTCAAAAAAGACTTGATTATATTAATTATGTAAACCTGACCATGTGTTCTTCCCACCCAGGATGGCCCCTGAAGTGATCCTGTGTGAAACCCTGAAAGACACACCATATGATTCCAAGGCTGACATCTGGTCACTGGGTAAGTAAATGTAAACACCAGTCCATGCAGCCTTGCAATTTAGCATTTGAAGTCCTGGGCCTAGATTTTCAAAGCTCTCTTAGCGCTAAGATAGTCGTAAGTTAATGCATATGTATGGCACTTACGGCTATCTTAGCTCTAAGAGAGCTTCGAAAATCTAGACCCTGGGTTTTATTCCCACATATTTTCAATGTGCTATGTCCATTCTGTGTGTCCCTGTCAAAAATTAATGGAATATCTATTGGGAATATCTATCTATCTTGCATGGGAATGTACCCATGCAAGTAAGTTTGTTTATCATTCCTGTCACCGGTTTGCCTTTTTCAGAACTTCTTATATACTCATTTACTGATTTGCCATTGTGACTGTTGCAGGTATCACTGCTATCGAGTTTGCGCAGATCGAGCCCCCAAACCATGAGATGCATCCGATGAGGGTCCTCATCAAGATACAGAAGTCCGACCCACCTCGGCTAGAAAAGCCGGGCAGATGGTAAATAAAGAAAACATCACCAGTCCCACTGTTATAACGATAGCCTTCCAGATTATGAACTTGATTGTCCCATTGAGAAGCCAGGATCCATATTTTGTGCCAGTTAATTTTGACTATTGTGTGCACTTGTACTATAGAAAAGCATGACGAGAGTCAAAACACTCTTCCTGTGCAAATGGTATATTGATATGATAGTTACGATATTGTTGGGATAGATTGATGAATACCTTTATCGTTATACAGGTAGTTATCTTTTTTTGCATTATTTAACATTAAGACAAAGGCCAGCATGTCTCCCATGTTCTGTATTTAGCAGATTGCTTTGATAATTTTACCTCTGAAGAGTTTTTTAATGTATCAATCTTTTGGGAATGAATAGGTACGCCTCTTTCATACAAGATGCATCAAGATGAATGGAAAGTTATTAACATATATTTAACTCATTGTTTGACTCATTGTTTTCTTCTGTATAGCTTAGAGGGGTGTTATATTGATGATGGGTTGACATCAGTGTTAGGTTGTGTTCAATGTATTGCAAGCCTTGGATAGTTGGTTGCATGGATAAGTGAGCTTTGTTACTTCACATTGATGCTTCAATAGGTCAGTACAACATTACTAGGTCACAGTGTTGCTGTTTCAGCTGGTAGTCAAAATAGTGTATTGCATGAGGAAGAGTGAGATATTACATGTCTTTAAATATGTTTTCAGGTCGAGAGTTTTAATGATTTTGTTGGGAGATGTCTTCAGAAATCACCAGGTCAGAGGCCCATCGCTGCAGACCTCTATAATGTAAGTCACAGCAATTTGGTAGAGACTCACACACGCGCTAATTCTTGGGGATGTCTATGGACATGGTGGTGGTTGTCCAAGCGGCATATGGTGCCGCAATAAACCCTTATGTTCTGTGCTCATTCCAAGCCTTAGATTTGAGCTTTGTTACTGCTGTGAGGGCGGTGGGTAGCCTAATGGTTCAAGTGTTGGCTCGCCATGCCAAAGACCAGGGTTCGAATCCCCACATGGGTACAATGTGTGAAGCCCATTTCTGGTGTCCCTAAAATGACGTTGCTGGAATATTGCTAAAAGCGGTAAACCAAACTCACTCAGTCAGTCAGTGTTGCTGTTGTGTTATCATCACTGCCACCAGCGTGCAAGTGTGTCATTATAAACTTATCAAACTTTTCCCTCGGTATCCATTTTACAGGTGTGTTTTGTATATAATGCTGAAATTTGCTGATTATAGTTCTTGGTTTGTCAGCCTGTGGTCATGATTTTCATAAACTTCTAACATCAAACTGACACTCCATGAAATAACTGGAATACTGTTTAGATCAGTGTTAATCCGAGCTCACTCGCCCCCTCGTAGTTTAATGCCATGTTTCACCAGTAAATAACCCATGAAGGTTCGGGTTAGAATATTGTCCTTCAGTAACCCAGGCTTGTCGTAAGAGGCTTACTAAAGGGATCGGGTGGTCAGGCTCACTGACTTGGTTGACATATGTCATCAGTTCCCAATTGTGCAGATAGATGCTCATGCTGTTGATCACTGAATTGTCTGGTCCAGACTCGATTATTTACAGACTACCACATGTAGATGGAATATGGCTGAGTGTGTACAGCATAACCAAACTCACTCACAGCCTAATGGTTCAAGTGTTGGCTCGTCATGCCAAAGACCAGGGTTCGAATCCCCACATGGGTACAATGTGTGAAGCCCATTTCTGGTGTCCCCAGCCGTGACGTTGCTGGAATATTGCTAAAAGCGGCGTAAAACCAAACTCACTCAGTCAGTCAGTGTTGCTGTTGTGTTATCATCACTGCCACCAGCGTGCAAGTGTGTCATTATAAACTTATCAAACTTTTCCCTCGGTATCCATTTTACAGGTGTGTTTTTGTATATAATGCTGAAATTTGCTGATTATAGTTCTTGGTTTGTCAGCCTGTGGTCATGATTTTCATAAACTTCTAACATCAAACTGACACTCCATGAAATAACTGGAATACTGTTTAGATCAGTGTTAATCCGAGCTCACTCGCCCCCTCGTAGTTTAATGCCATGTTTCACCAGTAAATAACCCATGAAGGTTCGGGTTAGAATATTGTCCTTCAGTAACCCAGGCTTGTCGTAAGAGGCGACTAAAGGGATCGGGTGGTCAGGCTCACTGACTTGGTTGACATATGTCATCAGTTCCCAATTGTGCAGATAGATGCTCATGCTGTTGATCACTGAATTGTCTGGTCCAGACTCGATTATTTACAGACTGCCACATGTAGATGGAATATGGCTGAGTGTGGCGTACAACTAAACTCACTCACTCACTCACTCACCAGTAAGGATAGGATAGATTCTTAAACTGCTTATGATTTCAGCACCCCTTTATAAGGAACTACACGGACAAGAAGCCTATTTTGGACCTCATCCTTGAGGCCAAGGCTGATGTTATTGAGACTGTCACAGATCTATCAGAAGAGGAAGATATCAAGGAAATCAAGGTAAGGGAGACAACTCTATGTGTTCTTATTTTTCTTGCCTGATTGAAAAATGGGATTCTTGTTTCTTGTTTGTAAGATGGTCTAACATTGTTTCTTGTACAGATATTTGTTTGAGAATGCTGTTATCATTGTTATGAATGTTTATTGTCAAATGTAAGATGTTGGTATTAACACCTGCATGTCAGACTTTCTCACGTTATTGTTGTTTGTGACAAAGACAAGGATGCTTAAGCTTCAGCAACCAACACAGTGATGTAAAAGTTAAATAACCCAACAGCTTACTCTCATACTCCCAGTCCAGTCAGGGGCAACAGTTTTTGTAATGTTTCAAAATAAATCAAATTCAAATCACGGAAGTTACCATACTTGTAATAGATTTATTTAGAATTCAGTGAAAAGAAACATATTAAGTTCACTCAAATGAACATTTTGTTTGGCAGATGAAATTTAAAAGGCACAGGGTTTTTTTCAAACCATTATAGTACCTGATTCTAAGCTTTACCTGTTAGGTATTTCAAGCTATGATCAATGCATATCCCCACATACTAACACTATCAGTGAAAGATGTTGACAACTCAACAGTCCTGTTGAATCTAAATGCCCCACGGTTTATACATACTTTCAAGAAAGGAACATATAGACACCATATAGCATGCTCAACTAACATAGTTGTTTGATTGACTCTATGTTTGATTATTTGTTTATTTTAATAACCCTGATATATATTTTCCACAAGAAAGATACTACCCAGTAGGTTATGCATTGTTATATCCAGTGTTTGAAATGAGGAGTGGCAATTCAACTGGCCAATGGAATTTAACAGGTAATGGGACACCTTGACATAATAAGTGATAAAGAAGGAACAGTGGGAACATCATATGATGTTGGGGTATAATGGGCCTTGGAGCATGCTAACATACAGTATTTTATCATTTTCAGTGGTAGAAGTCACTATGATAATATCAAGTACCTGATACTTATTCATAACTCTGTGGGTTGGGTATATGATTGTCCTGATAAATCAACCAACACCACAGACAACTTAAGACAGAATTGTGTAGCTTGGGAAGACATAATATTCAAAATTTGGGTCCAATTGAGATTCAGACTGTTTTTTCCCCTTCAAAGTTCTGTACCAATGAGGCTGAAAATTCCTGGGCAGAAATTCAGTATATAATTAATAGTTTCTTCATGTTGAGGTGTACAGCATTACACTTTATAAGTTTAAGGAAAATGTATAGTATAAATTTATACTATTTTAGAATGATAAATAAGAACATTATCACTGTCTTTTGATTTGATTAAGTAGTTAAAGAACAAGAAACAGTAACTTTGGGTATCCTTCATTTGAAACAGGAGATTCAGCTGAAGTAAATATTCATCTTGGGCAATAATTCCTAGATATGACTGAAACCGTGTCAGGTGATTTGGGGCCCTCTGATTTCCAACACTGAATATCTCTGGTGAGGTATATGACGACTCTTTCTGTATATCCCCAGTTAAACTTATCCAAAGATGAGGGTGCTGTTGAGGACATATTGGAGGAGGAAGCCCAGGTATTCTGGTGTTGCCATGGCAATGTGGATTATTTTATTGTGATTTTAACCTCTCTTGTGTGTTTTGAGTTGCTTGTCTCAACCTCCCTCCTTACATAGCATCCAGGAGCCCTTTGTTTCAACAACACTGTGTAATGGAATAACATAATCTTAAGCTTTAACGATAGTGTTTTAAATTGTTTTAGCCCAGACCAAGTTAATTCCATTTGACTCATTTTTATGGTCAGTATGCTTATTTCATGTTAATATCAGATATCTCTTTAAACAGTAATGATCATGGTCGTGAATTATTTTACCATGAGAATATTTTCAGCAAAATTATCTGAAATACAAGTCGATTTGGTCGGGCTAGAATGTAAACACTTTTGAAATCCTACAAACACAGTTTTGTACAGTGGTGTGTGTTAAAAAGTGGGAAGTATTTTGTCTTTAACTTTGATTTTGTGTCCTGTAACTCAGTGCGGAAGGAGAATAAAGGACACCTAAGCCAATGCTTTTTTTTAAGGTTCTTTGATGAATGTCTTTTGAGAGATAAATCTAAAGGGAAATAATCACAGTGCATGTTTCTGGGGTTGCAAAGAGTGGTACAAACAGTGAGGCTAATGTATGTTTTGTGAAAATCAGTTAGTATCGGATTTGATCAGTAAGGAAAACTTGCAGTGTGGTACAGCAATTTCTGAAATCTCTTTATTGACTTGTGTGTAGAAAATGTTGTTATTCCTTTACTTTTCCTTTCTCCTTTGTCATTTGTAAATGCTCACATTCATCTTTTCATTTGCACTGACTGTTTGTTACATATTGTTCTGTTTTATCATTGGAACCAACCACTCATTTGACATGTGGCTGAAACAAGGGAGATAATCCAGATGTTCACTATTCTCCCCCTTTAACTTGTGTTTGAATTTCTGTTTAAATGTATATGACATCAAATCTTTTTCAACAAAAAATAACTGATTGTCTGATTATGTATTGTTCCTTCACTCAACAAAATTTTGTCACAAGTTTACCTTTGATTGTTGTTTATATGTGGATTCATGAAATAATGTATGTTTATCAGTAACAAAAATGACCCCCTTTTCTTATTGCTTTCTTGCACCTGTAAGGACAAAGCTTTGATTATGCAGGTAAATGTATGTTGTAAAGTGTCCTGTTCTTTAGTATCTACTCACAGACACCTTAATGTGGGTTCTGTGTTCTCGTGGTTCTGCTCATTCTTGCTCCCCACACCTATTAATGACCAATATGGCGATTATGGATTTCGGAGGTCACCAGCATTCTATGCTGGTCCTATGAGACAAGAAAAGGGATCATGTAGTCAGGCTTGGTGACTCAGTGACAGTTTTTGAAGTAGTTTGAGTATATGATTTGTATGTATTACTTAATATTATTTAAGTGAAATTATCTTCAGAGGAATATATTGGCTCATCCCCCAGCATGATATGAAGCCCATTGCTGGAATATTGCTAAAAGCAGCAGCATAAAACCATACTCACTCACTCACTCACTCACTCACTCACTCACTCACTCACTCACTCACTCACTCACTCACTCACTCACTCACTATCTGAAAATGATTGATACTAATAATAACATTTTCCCCTCATTTATTAGTCAAGTAATATGTATTTCAGAATAGTAAGATTTGTTACTCAAAGTCAGGATATATTTTGGGCAAGAGATCAATAAGGTTTTGGCACTGAGCTATAATATTTTTGTATGTACAAGCAGAGATGCCAACCCTTACGCTTTGGCCGTAATTATTACGATTTTGACCATTAAATTACGCCATTACACTTAATGTGCGAAAATTACGCTTTTCTACTCGTTTTAAGAAAATCAATAAAGTGGAAAAAATTTCACAGGGAAGTGTTTCGTAACGCACCGGTACAGGGGTTCAGAAATGGTCTTACTCTTAGCATCGCGCTCATTCCAATTAACTTGTAAGGAATTAAAGTATTTTGTGTAACATGACCAACAATTTTCGATGTATAGAGCTTCATAATGATTGGTCACATGTATTTCTGTCTAGAATATTTCCTATTCATGTGAATAAACCTTCTTACAGGTAATTTTTATAAAGTTATCACCTTTCACTTAGTTTTTTTTTTAAGTATTACACTTTTTAGGTCCAAATTACACTTTTTGACCTCCAGTATTACACTTAGGCCCAAAATAGGGTTGGCATCTCTGTACAAGGCTTTGTCAGGAGACTTCCTTGTTAGTAGAGACTGCCCTAACTGTATTCCTATGGAGATGCCTAGTTGGAATAGGTCCCCATCAATCAATGCTGGTCACATATGGATCAGGTGGTCAGACTTGTACCTGGATGGCATAAATCGTTGTCCAATATATCAGTCATTGGATTATGTGGTCCAGATTATTTATTATTACTGTCATACGACTAACCTGTAATTACTGCTGGGAACAGCATTAAGCAAAACAAAGAGTACATAACTATGTACATATTTCTAGTGTTGTACGTCAGTAGTAGCTCTAACTTACATTCTCTTACTCGTCTGTTGATGTTAATTTCTGTAGTTGCCTTCTTAACAGTTTTAGTCATTTGTCTGCAGATTGTGTGCTAATTTTATTGTGTAACAGTTTTAGTTATAGATTCACAGTTAGAGGATGTTTAACACTAGAATTGTAGTTAACTGTTCAGCTTTCCTATTTGTTCTGTCTGGGTAGACAATCTTCATGAGCTGGATTTGAAGATGACAGGTACTGAACAGATGGTTATGAGTTCTGTGGTATGCTGGTGTTAAACCCAAATCACTCACTTGCCATTTGCTTAGATTGATGTTCATGGTGTCAATCCAACTCGATTCGAATCCCCACATGGGTATGCACACAGCTGAGATGTTGTCTGTGATGGGAACAATGGGCATGAAACACTCTCCCACCCTGCAGTTGTGTGATGGAGATCACTACAGATATGCTAGGGCAGGATTGGTCCACCACCATACACATCAACTGAAAATGAGGCTTACCGTCTTAGCAGCCTATGTTAGACAACGGCATGACTGTTACTCAGGGGGCAGTGGGGTAGCCTAATGGTTGAAGTGTTGGCTCATCGCTCCAAAGACCCGGGTTTCGATTCCCCACATGGGTACAAGTGTAAAGCCCATTTCAGGCATGCCCTGCCGTGATATTGCTGGAATATTGCTAAGAGCGGCGTAAAACCATACTCATTCACTCACTCTGTTGGTCAGGCTCCCTGCCCTTGTTGATTTTACATCTTCCTGTTCCTGTGGAAATTGCTTATAATATCAGTCACGTGTTTGTCTGGTCCAAACTTGATAATTTCCTAGGATTATTGTGCAGCACTGACCAAACAACTGTTGCAATGTGTGACCTGAATGTTTGTCATCATATCCAGTAACACATGCTATCTATCAGCCTGATTGACACTGAGCACTTACAGGCCACTCTTATATTGCTGACTAAGGATTGAAACAGTTATAGCAGTATAAACCCATTTATTGCGCAAAGTGATGCTGTATCCAAGATCTTTTTGATTTGATACTCAGAGTATGAAATAATTTTGCTCAAAATATGGCTTATTTCAGAAAATATGTTCTATATTTGTTATGATAATGGATTGAAAGGCAGTATAAACGATACTTTCAATAACAGTATGTTATCATTCATCGGTAAAATTCTGTTACATTTTACTTGAGATTGTTATAGATTTGGTTGTTGTTTATTGAAAATATTCCTCTTTAACTTTGGACCCTTTATCAACAGGTGATTGTCCTGTTTTCTGGTGTTATTAACACTATTTGTGTGAAATTGTTCTTTGTGATAGATCTTTGTCATCCCTGCCCCTTATTGTGTTCCATATTTCCACATAATGACATGACACTATACCACCAAGAAAAGCTAACAACCACATGATTCTTTCATTAACTTTGGCTAATCTGTCATTGAAGAATCGGACTGTCATTCACTGTTTTGGTAACATAGAAAGTCACCAATATGAGATGTGAAGTTGATCTGATTGTATTTATGTAATCACTATCATAATCATAATCATTATAATGAGACATATCAATCAGATTAATCAGAAATGATGTATGTTCATAAAATGATTTGGAATATGTGGACAGGTAGAATATAGATCAGTCTTGTGAAAACACCCAAACAACTGTTGTAAACTGATTATTTGGTGGATACTTGTCTCCACTGATTAGATTTGTTTTTTCTGACATTATCCCTGAGGCCAAATAAAAAAAATGTTGTGGTTCCGATTACACCTCTTTAAAATTTAGGGGAGGTAGGTAGGATTTTAAAAAAAACAACATTTTTTTAGAAGTAAAGTACAAACTAATAACACATTCATCAATGTGTAATTGTTTATTCAATCAAGCTTGCAGCCATCCTGTCGGCTTTCTCTATCAGAATGACCAATGTCCGTGATGCTGGAAAAAAATGATGGTATCTGAAAGCTTATTTTATTCATACTGCTTAAAAAAATAGGGTCGGCACCAGAATTGAAGGGTCGGTCAGGTAATTGGAACCACAACATTTTTTTTTTAGGCCTGACACCAGCAGTACAACACAGACTTGAATACACAACTCTCTTCTACAATACATTTCCTTGGTCAAGGGGGATTCTAGGTTAGAGCTGGTCAGCAGCACCCTATGCTGGTCATGAAAGGTGTCTAAGTGGTCAGGCTCTGTCATTTGGTTGATGGCGTTAATAGTTGTTTGCGATGAATCACTGGATTGTCTTGTCCAGACTTGATTATATACAGACCTCTTTCATATAGCTGAAATATTGCTTAGCTGGCTCTGAACAGCAATTGGCTACCCCAAATAGTGTTAATATTTAAGTATGCCTACAAAAAAGCTTCACATTTTATGGTATTCCTTCAAAATTACGCTGTGTGGTTTTCGCTTTTCAGTGTATGACATGGGTTACAAAATTTTGATGATCAGCTATATAGATTGCTTTACTCTATGGCATTATTTGAGTTGTGCTAAAGGTTCCTGAAGGGCTTATATATGGCCGCATTTTGTTAGCTCTTTGGCTCATCACCACTTTGTAATAGAGCATCTGAATGTGTGCTGTAATTCCTGTGAGGAGTATTCAAGTCTGTGATATACTGACAAGAGTGTCTATATTTCTATGAGCATTGTTTTGCAAATTGTAAAAATTGCCACAGTGCTCTATTCCAACCTTTTAAAGTCTCTGTCACCTTTTGAATGACTTCCATGTGCTTGATACCTTGGCTGAACTGTCAGGTAGCATGGTATGAACACTAACTCCGGTTGTCTGTTACAGAGGCATATGAGCGATGACTCACAGTCCATCGACCTGGACAACATCTCCAGCTACAGTGGAGAAACCGACAAGCATGATGACAAGGATCGGGATAAGGTAATGTTCAGCTACAGGATGATCTCCACGAGTAGGTGTGTTTTTAAACATAAGGACCAGTGTGCTCACTGTGTAGATCCGCAGGTCTCTTGTTTTGAATTCAGTGAGAGAACCTCCAGGATCCCTGTTAAATTTCATCATTGCAATCCATACATGGTTATCAGGATCCGAGAATGCCAAGTGTCACATGGTACAAGCCATTGAATGTGAATTAGAATCCATAGCAATTTTCTCATGAAGGGCTGAACTGTCAGTTATCTACTTCCTGATCATAAACAGTACCGTATGCTATTCCATACCAGCCTCTGCTGAATCCTTAAAATGTACCCTCGAAGATCCAGATTGGAATTGGTCTTCAGCAATCAATGTTTGTCATAAGAGGCAACTAACAGGACTGGTTGGTAAGCCTTACTGACTTGGTTGACACATTGTACCCGTGAAGGTCCGGGTTAGAATATTGATCTTCAGTAGCAAATGTTTGTCATAAGAGGCGACTAACAGGATCGAGTGGTCAGGCTTGCTGACTTGGTTGACACATGTCATCGGTTCCCTGGTCGATTATTTACAGACTACCACCATACAGCTGGAATATTGCTGAGTGCGGCATAAACCTAAACTCACTCACTGGTTGACACATTGTCTCGTCCAGACTCGATTATTTGCAGACTGCTGGAATATTGCTGCGTGTGACGTTAAACAACAACCAAACCAAACAAAAGCATTAAATGTTTGGTAAATTAGCTTGACAATATGAATGACCCAGTTGTCAACAGATCTGCATTTCGCTGTGCAGAGTTACCTCCCTTTGCGATGTAGGCCACTCTGATGGGTTCAAATTCTGGTTTGCCCCAATTATGATGTGTCAGCACTATACCCATGCTCATGGGTTTCACCAAATTGGAAAACATCTGAGACACTTTGTGATTTCTTCCCACATCAAGCACATTGTCATCTCATAATATGACCATTTGATTGCAAGACTGTTTTAATCAGAATGCTGTTATGCTTGTAATACTGCTCATATAGAGAATATATAGAGAAGCTGCTTACAATTGTTACAGTGATAAGAAATTAAATTTTTAATTTATTCCTTTTATTATCCAGAGTGTTGAAAAAGAAACCGCGAAAGCCAAAACACCAACTCCAGACAGAAAACCATCTCCCCAGAAACAGAAAACACCGTCACCTGTTAAAGAAAAATTACCATCACCTGCTAAAGAAAAGTCTCCATCCCCAGTTAAGGAGAAATCACCAGTACCAGATCACAAACAGGTTTCTGAAGATGAGAACAAGAAAGCTCCATCCCCCAAGAAGTCTCCTGCTCCACCCCCACCAGCTGTGGTGGAGAGCCCTGAGGAGAAGCGGGAAACATCCCCAGTCCCGGCAGTTAAAGAACCAACACCACCAGTGGTTCCAGCTGAAGTTCCAGTGGAGGCAGCAGCTGAAGCTGTCAAGACGCACGAGAAAGAGGAGAATGATCGGTCATCAGACGAGGGCATTGGTCCAAGTGGAGACGAGAGATCAGAGGGCAGCCAGGTAAATAGGACACATATTTTCTGTACCTTGGGGTTTCAATGCAGGGGGGTTGGGTAGTCCAATGGTTAAAGCATCCACTTGTCATGCTGAAGACAGGGGTTTGATTCCCCACATGGGTACAATGTGTGAAGCCATATCTGGTATCCCCTGCTGTGATATTGCTGGAATATTGCTGAAAGCGGCGTAAAACTATACTCACTCATTCACTCACTCATTCACTCACTCTAATGTACAAGATGCCCCTTTGCTTGGTTCTATTTGTGGGAGGTGTGTCGTGGATGATAGTGTATAATTATGGATGATAACTCTGCTGCTGTCAACCACTTGGGTGTCCTGTCTGCGCAGAGTTGGATTCTTGGCATACTAGAAACTTATGATCATGAGCCTGAATCCTAGATCACCCTGTTCCGTTTTCGGGTTCGTTAGCACCATACCAATGGTTGATGGTTTCACCACATTAAGCTGTCACTCCATGATATATAGAACTGTTCAGGCTTTATCCTAACCCACTCAACCTGTGAAGATCCAGGCTAGAATTGATCTTCAGTAACCCATGCTTGTTGTAAGAGGTGACTAACGGGATCGGGCGGTCAGGCTCGCTGACTTGGTTCACACATGTCATCGTATCCCAATTGCATATATCGAAGCTTATGATGTTGATCACTGGATGGTCCAGACTCGATTATTTACAAACCGCCGCCATATAGCTGGAATATTGCTGAGTGCGGCGTAAAACAACAACCAACCAACATAGCCCACTCTGGTGTGTCTGGGCAGATTGGATTGTTTTTTTAATGTTGCTGGAATTTTTATGCCTGCTGTATGAATTTGTTTCCTTATTGATTGGTTAGTGGTTTATTGGGGTGATAGATTTGATAATGCCAATTGGCAGACATGTTTACTTGTCAATTTGAAAGACCAGAGCATGATTCATAATGTTAGTGTTCCACTCAAACTGCTGTAAATTGCCATGCTTTGTTTGTCGTCGACAGTTGTAGCTCAGAGTTTGCTTTGTGAAATTGTGACCAGGATTAATTCAAGGAAGCTCATTCTTTGTGAAAATGCTGCATTGATATTGCTGAAAGTCTGCCCTTCCTTAGTTCAGTAGCTTTGAAGTGACACATAGTTATATTATATGTCCCACTGTGATATTCCTGGAATATTAAAGTATAGTAAAATAAAACCAAATTTACTCACTGGCTATATTATAATTGCATAAAACAGTTTGTAGCTTAAGATTTATTCAGCAATTGTTGAAAATACTGATTCACAGAATTCTTTTATTCTGATTCTTTAATAATGATGTCCTCTTCCTTCAGACGGAGAGCCCTGCAAAGACGCAGGAAGTTGTGGAAAAAGAAGCTGAAGACACCACAACCGTTATAGTCGCATATGACATCGCTGACGACATCATTGATGACGTCATCAAGTCGACCCGAGTTCAACCATCAGTGCCGAGTGTTGTGTTTGATACAATACAAGACATGACCGAGGCCCAGATTGAGGAGGAACAAGCTGAAGCTGCCTCTATAGACGTGAACACCACCTCCATCACCTCCGACACCACTGTGACCTCTTCCACCTCCGACACCACCATCACCTCCGACACAAAACCTCCCACAGAGGAGAAGGTTGAACCTGCTCCTGCTGCAGTTGAAGAGGTGAAGGTCAATGTGCCCAGTAGTGATGTAAAAGTGGATGAAAATGTTAAAGATGTTATAACTATAAACGGACAGCCTGTGCCTGAAACTGGTGCTATTGTTATCAATGGACATGCAACAGTGGTGAAGGACACTGTCGTGACTGGCGTAGGGAAGAATGAAGTGACAATAGATGAGAAGAGACAGAGTGTGATTCCAGAAACAGATCTTGACACGTTTGTGACAAAGATGACCAGTGATGACCGGTCGCCAGTAGACGGCAGGAATGTAGGTTACTCTAACCCAGATGATGACCTTTCTGACAAGCGGTCAGAGACTGGTAGCGCCACCACAGATGGCAGCCTGGAAAGGGAGGAATCCAAGAAAGCAGACAACAATATACAGCGCAGGAAGAAGATACGTGAGAGAAATGTGAGTGTGCAGATTGTGGATAGTACTCCTGGGTCACCATCCGTGCAGACATTCTTTATGGGCCATCCTTCACATGTATTAAGTAATACCCACTGTGAGTAAAAGGCTGAAGATCTGAGATAGCTGAAATACTGCTCATAGGGCTTACAACCTTATCCACAGATATGTGAGTGTTCCACCTTGGCCTCGGGACACACTTTACAAATTGATCACAGCACTGATATTGACTGGAATATTTTAACATATCTGTACAAGAGTTGCTGTGCTAAGATCACTTCGGGGGATGGGGCCCTGTCAGTGCTTCAGATAGCCACGAGACCTAGTTCATTGAACCCTTATGTCTTCTATTCTTTCCACCCTGGCCTATCATTTAATTTTTTATTTTAATTTTTGTATTTCCACTTTTTGGTTACATTTCCATCCATTTCAAAACAGCAATACATACATGTGCATATAGATGTGCATATAGATGTACACAAGATGGCCTATCATTTTATGATACTTATTTCAATCTGAGGCTCAGGGTCCCAGTCCACAAAGTGTTTGTAATGTTACGACCTATCGTATCTCTATACTCTATCATTGGCTTAGACCGCCTCCGTGGTGTAGTGGTTAGAGCGTCTGCCAGGAGAGCGGAAGGTCGCGGGTTCGATCCCCAACCGCATCATACCAAAATATGTTAAAATATGGTACTTGTTGGTCCCTGTGTGGCTCTCAGCATTACTGGGTAAAACAAGGACTGGTGGGCTCGGAGTCAGTATAATGTGTCTGGGTATTCATGTTTCACTGTGGCATGGTATCTCAGTGGGCTAGCACTATAAAACCAGCTTAAGTCTGGGCTAGTACAAGCAGCTGCACATACACATACACACGCATGCACATCGTCATATGAGCGAAATATTCTCAAGCACGACGTTAAACCCAATTTCACCTCACCTTTCATTGGCTTATGAATAGCATTGTGCTACGAACGTTTAGTGGATTGGGCCCCTGCCTTTAGGCTGTTTTCACATGTCCAGCCCAACTATTGGTAGTATAGTTAAACTTAAGTGGTGGCAGCTTCCGATGCCCCTCCTAAAAGGATTTTTCTCATGCTTCCTTCCCTCTGATACATTGGAAAGTACCATGTCAGAATAGGTCCCTTAAACCCATTGCCTTGATAAAACCAGGCATGATTGAAAAGACCTTGCATTTAACCTCAATTACGCATCAAATACTCTTTGATTATTATGTACAAATATAATGGTCCTTATGAACATATGGTGAACATAATGATGCATGATAACAAGTAATTTAAATTTCCAAGCAGAATTTGCTTGATAATTCCTTAAGTTGCCTGTATTCTACTTAAAAAAACAGCTTTAACTGTTAGTGCCTTGAAAAAGTCTTGAAAAGGCCTTGAATCTGTTCAGGATACCATGTGTGTACAACTCTGTATCTACAATCTTGTTTCTCCTACCAACTCACATAAACACTGTCATGTCAGGATCCACTGTGGTGATGTTTGAAGACGCTCATGTGTAAGAATGTTGTCCTTTTAGGAAAGCAAGAGCCATTATCGTACAATGACCAAGACAAGGACGTACATGAAGGATGGCAAGTTCGTCACAACAACAACTTCTAAAGTAGTGGCAGCGGGCGAAGAAAATCGAGTGAAGGAGGAGCACAACCTCAGGTAGGACAAACACTCATTATATAGCTGGGTTAGCAGTATTGGGGGTGACACAACAACGAGATGCCGCTGCCTCCAGATGTCTGCAACTATTGTATCATTCATCCTTGATGTGTATGTAATACAATGTATACCAACCAATCTACACACATTTGACGATTGATGAATCGGTACCGGGTTATCTCCCCATATACCTGTTCCATGGCGCTGCCTCCGTGGTGTAGTGGTTAGAGCGTCTGACCAGAGAGCGGAAGGTCGTTGGTTCGATCCCTGACCACGACATACCAAAAGAAAAATATGGTACATGTTGTCCCCTGCCTGGCTCGGCATTAATGGGTAAAATAAGGACTGGTCGATTCGAAGTCAGTATAATGGGTCTGAATGAGGTATTTATGCTTGTATTAGTGAGCTAGCACTATAAAACCAGCTTAGGTCTGGGCTAGTACAAGCAGCCACACATACACACGCATGCACGTTGTCATATGAGCAAAATATTCTGAAGTGCAACGTTAAGCCCTATTTCACCTCACCTCCCCTGTTCCATGGTCCATGAAGGGAGAGGTGTACTGATTGACACCTTTCAGTGTACTGGCTACTGTGTATGGTATGTGTTTTTCAGGATTTGAACTGAAATGATACAGAATTGCTGTGTTTCCCAAAAGGAGCTTCGATCATCTACCACTTACCAGCTTTGTTCTATTATTTATCTAAGACAAAATGTGGAATTTTTGAGAGCATGTTTTCTCACACACATTTAACAAATTTCCTTTCAGGTATCATTCAAGTTTTCACCTCACATGGATTTATTATCAAAATGATGCACACACCACTAGTATATAGGCACTAGGACACATGTTTAGTCCTCTGTCACACAAGAATACACACTCACACAAAAATAACACAGTTTATCTTGTTCATCACAGTTGAATGTTAGGGTTTGAGAAGTTAAGGGAGGTAACTCTGGTGGCATTGATCCTTTTGGACACCAGATTTGTCAGTTTTTAGTCTGACAAAAGTATGCTGTGATACAAGATTTTGTAACATTAATGTCAGTATTTTGTACAAGTTATGAGACTACACATCAGTCTCCAGCTGTACTGAGTTATGCTGTGGTATGAGAAAGGTGTTTTATCCAACAGTTGATAATATTCTATTCCCAGCTAGTGTGTGTTGATTTTCCCCCTTTGTACTCATCAACATATGTTTATCTTTGATAATTTGTGAATGAAGGGTTCTTAACTTCCAGTTTTGCTATAACAATATTCTGATACAAGGTTCTGCGTGTTATTTGTCTATTTGCAAACCCCATGGCTCTAGGAAATATTTCATAATGTAGATTTTGAAATACTGTTCATAATAATTATAATCCACCAAAGAACAATCTAACATGAATTAGATTCTAGACTGAATTATTTCATGTTGACTGTCTATTTTGGTGCTAAGTAATCAGGCGAAATATTATTACCAGTTCCGTGGCAGGAGAAAATAAAGGATCTCTTCATCAAAGGTCCTGTATTAAGATGCTTGTCTTTTTCTAAACATTGTGTTAGAACACATCTAATGATTCTCGGGGTGTCGGGGTAGCCTAGTTGTTAAAGCATTCACTCGTCACGCAGAAGACTCAGGTTTGATTCCCCACATGGGTACAGTGTGTGAAGCCCATTTCTGGTGTCCCCCCCGTGATGTTGCTGGAACATTGCTAAAAGCGGTGTAGAACTTAACTCACTCACTCTAATCACTCCCAACAGTCAGTGGGTCGTCTGGCAGTTGTGTGAGAATCAAAAGCTTCAGTGTCAGCCTCATCGTTTTGGCGGAAATTTAGATTTTGATAGTTTGTTATTATCTTATCATGCATTCAATGCAATAAGGTAAAACTTTGTATCAATGTTTTATCCCTTGGGACAGTAGGCTAGGGTAGTAGTTGAAGTGTTGTCACATCGCACAGAAGGCCCGGGTTAGATACCCCTCATGTGTACAGTATGTGAGTGAGTTTAGTTTTACACCGCTTTTAGCAGTATTCCAGCAATATCATGGCAGGGTGACACAAGAAATGGGTTTCACACATTGTACCCATAATGGTATGTGAAGCCCATGTCGAGTGTTCGTTGCTGTAATGCTAAAAACTTGTATAAACTCACTCACTCTTTGCTGTAACTATGATATTGTGAAAAGTGGCATAAATCTATTTATTACCTACGAGGGCGAACATATCGGGGTTCATATTTTTCATACGATGAACAAGGCCATGACGTCACATTTCTTCTGTGACGTTGCGTTCTACATGCGGCAACGGCGGGTAGCCAGCCTGTGTTTGAAAGTAGATTTGGGTTTATTTTCCTCAATTTGACGACTTCGGTACTAAACAGAATATTATATTTGTGCCCATATCATACTATGTTTACGACACTCGTGCCCAAATGTCGGGAAATACCAACATTTAGGCACTCGTGTCTTAAACATAGTATGACATGGGGACATGGTACTAAACAGAATATTATATTTGTGCCCATATCATACTATGTTTACGACACTCGTGCCCAAATGTCGGGAAATACCAACATTTAGGCACTCGTGTCTTAAACATAGTATGACATGGGCACTCATATAATATCCTCTATATTCACTCGGGCCGGTGGAGTAGCCAAATGGTTAAAGCGTTGGCTCATCACGCAGAAGACCCGGGTTCGAATCCCCACATGGGTACAATGTGTGAAGCCCATTTCTGGTGTCCCCCGCCGTGATGTTGCTGGAATATTGCTAAAAGCGGCATAAAACCAAACCCAGTCAGTCAGCCTATATTCACTCACTTTGTGAATGACAAGGTTGCACATATCAACATAACAATTTAGATCTAGCTGAATTGGCGGCTTCAAAGGTTGCAGTCAACTATGATACGTTTTCTGTAACTACTCTTCATATCCCACCATATATACTGTTGCTTTGTTGTGCGTCATTGTAAGTACATGTGTTTGGAAACAGTAATTGGCACTGTGAATATTTGCAAGAATTCTTCACAAGCCTTCAAGGATGAAAAGATAACAGATCTCTTACTGCCCTTTTCAATTCTTGAGATCTATCAAACATTTCAATCCATTTCCATTACAAAGAAGAATGACTTGGATGACCGTGTGAAGCAGCCTTCTGATTGGCTGGCTTCAGCAGACTTCCTGGTATGTGCTTGGCATTGAATGCAGCTACTAAAACCCTGACTCTTGAATGCCTGTCAGATAATTCTGCCACCACTGCGATGAAAGTGTCCTCAGGTTTGTTCATGCAGCTATACTGTTGACAAATGTCTGTGGCCATTACTGTGAACGACTGGATGACCATAACTGCCATCTTCCCTATTCCCAGGCCAACGCTTCATTGACTAATTCCTCCTTGTTCTGTTTAAAGAGCGTGTTAGTCAGAATGGCGTGTATTGACATTCAGGCATGGATGTAGTAAGTGCCGCACATCCATCACAATTGCTCTGAGATGTTTGAAACCACACTCCGGCGCAGTGATGACTTAGCATAACATCACTGCCACAGGCTAGTTTGCATATCACGTGACCGGGACTTTTCTCTTGTTTGTAAACAAACGCGCATATTCATAATAAGAAGAGACCGGCCTTATGCAAGCTTTTCGGCGTGCTCTTCACAATGTTTTACATTGTTACATGTATATTCTTCCACAACTGCGACAGTAAGATTTATGACAGTACATATTTAGATATCAAACTGGCTGCATCGTTTGCTCTCCGTCGGCTTCGATGACAGCACGTGGAGCCGTACAACCTATGTAAACAAAGGATCGCTACGCAAATCAAGATAGTGTTACATGTTTGTCTCAGATGATATTTTCCAGGCAGCTGATTTAAGTAAAGAAGAAGTTATTTTGCAGTTAAGCAACACAGTTCTGATTTAAATATACTGAAGTGTGAATGTCATGTCTATTTCATTTTGAAGAGTTTTGAATCATTACCGCCCTCAAATGTCTGCAATTGTGACCAAATATTTAGAAATGGTTGTACAACGAGATATCTCTTTGAACTAGATAATCAATCTAGGAATCACTGAATATGAGCAGATTGCAACAGTAACACCCATCAAGTGATAAAACTGTCCATATTTGATTAAATTCTCTGGTGGATGTACCAGCACAATGGTTTAATCCTTGTTGACTCTGAACTAAGTGGACTAATGCAGCTGTATGGAATTCCTCCACACCAGAGCTGGAACAGATGCAGGCTGATTCATTTGCTTGTTGGAGCCCAATGCCCAGCTTTGATTGGCATCAATATTTATGATGAGCAAATTGGTCTGTCAAGAAGGGTTTTAATCCAGCGACCCATGACAACTTGCCGAAGCTGCGAAGACAGGAGGGTGTTTGCAGCTGAGAGATTGGATAGGCAGCAAGGGCACTGGGGCCAAGACACAGGGATGCTAGCCAAAGTGCTCATTACGAAGATATTGGCAGATTGATTTCCACTTAACTTGAAATGAATGTTGTGTTATGAGCCAGTATGAACCTTTGAAGGAAGTCTGTTTTGGTTCAGTCAAGCCATTCTGGACGTTGGCGTTTTATCATTACATAATAAGCACCTTTAATCAGTAGTTCAAAGTCTAGTGAAAGGTTTTAGAGCTAGTGGAAATGTGAACTTATTGATCTTTTACATGTTGAGAGTAAAATGTGTTGCTATTCATTGATACTGAAGACATTTTTGGTGGCACATGGAAGGCCTAGTTGTTAAAGGCATCACGATTGGCTGTGCAGAGTTGCATCCCTTTGGCTCACCAAGAGCTGTAGATAAGTGGGTTTGAATCCCAGTTCCTCACAATAATGCTTTTAGGTTTTAATGAGTTCATGGATTTCATTAAAGTTTGAAATGTAAAAGAGTTGCACCAGTTTGGGTTTTCGTCCCACATTAGACCAACATAACTGGACAATTCCATTCAAAGCAGTGTTTAACCCAACTCACTCACGACCTCACTCACGACCTCACTCACATGGACATTCTC